TATCTACAGAGTTTTATTCATCCTGTTGGGAGTATTTATGAATTTTTTTATTCATCTATTTTATACATTATTTTCTAGTAAGTGGGAATTCAGTTCAGTTACCTCTCCCTTTCCTCCCTTCTCTGTTCTATTCTCTCTTCCTTTTCTCCCCAATTTTAATGGTTGTGTTATTTTTAATTATATTATTATTTACTTTCATAATTTCTATACCATTTACCATAGTCATTATCTCTTAGTCTTGAAATAAAATTTCAGAAAACTGTATATAGATTTAGAAAGAGGGAAAACTGTTATATGCATATGCATTTATGCAAATGCATCAATGAAAAATAAAGAGGTATTATACTACACATTCCTACGAATCATAATAGTGTTTAAAGTGTAGGAAGCCTAGATAATTGGAGGATTTTGTTTGTTCTATGGTCTACAGAAAAATTAATAGGTGGGAAGGAAGGGAGAAGGGGAGGGAGGAGGAGAAGAGGTGGAGGGACAGAGGGGAGAGAGGGAGGAAGGAAACAGAGCAGATCTGTTGCTAGGTTCTCTGACCTGCATTGACCTCTGCAGAGAGGACGTGATGGGGTGTATAACCAGGAAGGCTTGTCAGCAGGTATTTCAGAGAAGATATGCGATTATTTTTCATTAAGAAGGAGGATAATTTTTCAGGAAGCCATCACCCAGAGAATTTCATCCACATAGATGGCCAATTTGCATAAACCAGTATAACCCTACTGCTCCTTGTCTTGATTAATAGTCGTGGGCTTTGGGAGATTTTTTGCTCGAGTTACAGGAATAATTGTTTCAACTCTCACGGTTGTTTGGCTTTGTGTGAGACTCAGCCCTCATGTCTACTGAAGGGAATCTAATCATGACTAAATGCAGATTCTACATCCTGTTTCCAGCTTCATAGGCATTGACGAAGCCTACTTGTCTGTGAGTCTAGTCACAGTGGCTATGCTTTTAGTGAATTCACAAAGCAGTTGGCCCCAAATTCATTTAACAGTCACATTTAAAAACCTCTCTTAGTACGCAAGAGTGCCAATTCAGACTTTGCTTCCCTGTGTGTGTAAGGACGTGACAGAAGGACATCGTTTGGCTTAAGAGAAGAGATATTCTAGGGGAGTTGTAAAGGCCCTCTTCAAATACCTGATGACTATCACTTGGAAGGGCACATATGTTAAATTAGTGTGGCTCCAGAGTTTAAAATAAAGGTGGAGGCATGGATTTCAGCTTAGTTTATAAAGATGGGCTTCCTAATGCTTAAAATTGTTTAATAAGGAAATATCCTGCTTATAAGAAAGCAGATATCTAATGCTGAGGTCTGAATGTGTAGGCAAAGGGTGAATGACAGCTTGTGGGGTTTCTAAGGTCAGATCTATAAACATGTAACTCACCATTCAACCCTATGATTCTGTATAACATATTATACTGAAGCTGAGATATGCTCCATTTTCAAAAGCATCCTGATTTGAGAGTGTTAAAATGTGAAAAATTGGGAGAGTTAAAACTGATGAAATATAGTTGACATTCTCTTATTTTGCAAAGAGAGTTTTTGGAACAAACATGGCTTTTCAGTTTTCATCACTTTCTCTATGTTTACCCTCCCCTCTTGTACTTTGCTTGATCATGTTAGTCTCTGGGTATGCCCATGTGTTTCCATGTCCTGGGATAACCAAAGGAAAAGATATTTCCTGTTAACTCTTTTGCAATAAAGTTCATGACCATCTGACTTAGAGCAAATGGGTTTTGGAGAGAGTTTCTTCTGATTATACACTCAACACATGTGACAGGCTGGTAGGATCATGTAAGGTTCATAGAGTGTGTAGGGCTAATGAAAGACTGTTGGCATTTGATATTTTCTTGATAATTTTTTAAAATACTATTTAAAACTCACTTTTTGGAACATTTCACTATATTATATTTGGATTGATTTGTACATAAAGATTTATATATTTGCATTTTTATGTAGAATATCTATTATATAACAATGTAAGTATTTATTGCCTTAATGTAATGCACAGAAGCCATGGAGAAAAAAAACGTTTTTGGCATACTTCCCAATAGTTTTTTGATGTATTTGCACTCACCTTTGCAATTGCAGTGACTCTTCCAGTAAAGTTAAGTTACTCTGGAAATGGCTTCTAGCCTTGATTCCAGAATTTCAGTGCTGGTGATTTTAAACGTGTTCTTAGCTTTGATGCTGCCATTCTCTGCTAACTTGTAAGAAAAATGATAGACTTTCCATGTAGTTTTCCAGTTCCTAGTTATTAGAAAATTTGGGAAAAGACAAATGAACATCAGAAGAGGAAAGGGTCAATATTTTGCTTGTCTATAATCACATCTAGTTTAGCCTCTTGTGCAGTTCCCAGATATTTTTTCTTGTACTTGTCAAGTGCAAAAATGAAATGCAGAGATCATCTTCTAACAAGGTTTTAAAACACAGCCCTAAGGTAACAGCAATACAAGGCTCATTTTTGGACCAAACAGGTAAAAGAAAATAAGATATACAATCACTACTCGTTGAATTTTTCTAAATGTATCTAAAAAACTTACCAGGGCTCTGAATACTCATGGATGTCCTGGTGCCGTCATTCATGATAGATATTCTTTTTATTTCATTTTATTTATTTTATTTTTTAAAAGATTTTATTTATTCATTTGAGAGAGAGCATGCACAAGCAGGGGGAGAGGCAGAGGGAAAGGGCGAAGCAGACTCCCTGCTGAGCAGGGAGCCTGACGTGGGGCTCGATCCCAGGACGCTGGGATCATGACCTGAGCCCAAGGAAGACACTTAACCATCTGAGCCACCCAGGCACCGCCATGGTAGATATTCTTGACAGCAGTGTTATTTCCTCCTTAATGGGCTGATATGGGTGAACCAGGGTCTTGTGGCTCCGTGAAGTGAGTGTTCTTGGATTATGTGCCTTGATACATCTGTGAAAGCCCCTCTTAACTCCTTTACAGGGCTTTTACCATTATAGCAAAAGAACGAACTTTCAAGGCATCCAGGTTAGCACACAGGCTTTTCATCTCCCAAGAAGTTTTCACTTATATTCCCCTTTGTTGACAACGAAAGGAAAAGGCAAACAACTACTTTAAGTCCTAATTTGCTGACTTTTTTTCTACTCCCTAATTGGTATTTAGCTCTCATACCTGTCTAATCTGTAAACTATGCATAATCATTTTGATTCATTTTTGTGAGGGGGAGAAATCTGGACCGAATTATTGTATTTCCGTGAAATGTCACTAATAGTTTCAAATCCATGAACTTAAACAGGGAGCGAGGAAATGCAAAATGGAGCCTGTGGTTTTCTCATCACATGACATTGTGTGTTGGAAACATTGTTTAGAGCTTCATTTTGTTTAATATGGGTGTGTGATTTCTGGACACAGAGGGTTGTTTAAAAAGGTAGGAAGTGTGCCCCATGAATCCCTTTGCTTAAAATGACAGGATTAATATTAATGTAGCACTACACACAAGTGTACAGCTGTGGGATTTTAGAGCTCTGTATTCCATTCATGAGAACTAGTCAGTTCCAAAGCCTCTGCTTCATCAGACTGACCACTGACAACCCAGATTATGATTTTCACAACTGGCACCGCAACACAAATTTTCTTACAGCATTTCTCACCCTCTCCCCTTCCCTCTTAATCCCTTTCTACCTTTTCCTCCTGGAAGGACCTGGCCTTATTCAAATTGGAGAGAGAATGCTCCATTTCGGAAAGAAAATGAAAATACATCTGTTGCCATTGCAACAGATAAGCAACCAGACAGCTCTTTTCAACCAGGAGGGATTTTAGGCCTTCTTCCCTTTAATAAGGAGTAAGGTCATTGTTTCAGCTTTTGTAAATTTGTGACACCCCCATTGGCTCTCTCTTATCTGATCAAGGAAATTCTTGAACACGGGGACAGCTCAGTCTGGTAAAATAACTGACACAAAACTGAGGAGAGACTGCTGGATTTCCTTCTAATGAGGAGAAGGCAGATAGATGAACCAAGGATGAGGTGGGGGTGTCAAAGAATATTCCACACACAGGAGATCACACATCATCCTCACTGCGTTAACTGCTGTATCATCATCCCGGCCTTGGGAGTGCGAGGGTAAACTGAATACCCCACTCCTACCCCCGAGAGAAAAACGAATTGATTTAAGAAGCATCCACCATCTTCCCTTCCAAAGACTCTCCTCTGCCCTGTCCCCATAGCACAGGTTGTCCAAGATGCTTAATTGCAGTTAGAGCAGCAAAAATCAACTGGAGAGATTTTAGAGATCCTGATTCCCAGGCCCCAGCCAGGGCAATTAATTTGGACTCTGAAGACTATCAGCATAAAAAAAAAAAAAATTGAGTAACTCCAATGTGCAGCCAAGTTTGAGAACCGGCGGGCTAATCAGAGCAAGCGTGAGAAGGAATTAGTGTGGCATCTGACAAGGAGATGAATCTCTACTCCCCCCAAGGATACTTAGGAGGCAGTTGTTGCTGCAAAGAGGAGAAAGGGAAGAAAGAGAAAAGGCAGGAAGGCAAAATTGCATGCTTCCTTGTCTTTCTCCAGGTCAACTGGAGTCTCCCAGTGTGGGAACATAGGCTTGCACCTGCAGCTCGGGGTGGGGTGGGGTTGGTCCCCAGGCCTGGGGAACTGGACTGGGCGGGGTGGGGTGACTGGAGGTAGCTCCCCAGGGGCGCATCAATAGCCCCAGGCGTGGGCCGTGTGCCCCCCAGAGAAGGCGGTGCCTGCGGGGTGGAGAGCAATTTGGGGGCGCAAAAGGAAGCTGGCTCGGGCGCAGGTGGCGCTCGCAGCCCCAGCCGACAGCTCAGCCAATGGCGGGCGCAAGCGCAGCCTGGTGGCGGCGGCGGTAAGGGAGCGCAGGGCTGTGGCAGGAGACCGCGGAGGCAAAGGCGGCGCCAACAGAGAGCAGCGCGCAGGCTGGAGTGAGAGCCGGCGGCGAGAGGAGGGAGCGAGAGCTCGGCGCCCCGGTGTTGCCTGGCAGAGCGAGGCAAACAGCATGGGGAAGAAGTGGAGGGATGCGGCGGAGATGGAGCGGGGCTGCTCCGACCGCGACGACAGCGCGGAGAGCCGCAGGCGCAGCCGGAGCGCCAGCCGGGGCAGGTTTGCCGAGTCGTGGAAAAGGTTAAGTTCCAAGCAGGGATCCACCAAGCGCTCGGGACTCCCATCGCAGCAGACTCCGGTGAGTGGCCCGGGGAGAACCCCTAGGTCTCTTCCTCCCTCCGCCCGCGACTCGAGCCCTTTCCATGGTGCTGAACTTGCCTCCTTAGGGGCTCGAGCCTGGGAACTTGTGGAGTCGCTTCTAATGAAAGTGTTGGGGGCTGTGAGGAGGGGCAAGAAGGAACGATTTCCCTTTCTTCAGAGAGGGGAGGGTCTCCTGACATATGTGGTATCTTTGCAAAAAATGGAGAAAACGTTCGAGAGGCGAGGGGCTCACTGTCAGATCGTTAGAGTTTTGCATTTAACGGAGTGTGCGAGATGTTGCCGAGGGTACTGTTGTGACTCCTCTGCGTCCCGAGGGTCTGTCTGTGCAGCATGTTCGAAGGTACTCGGCATCCGCTGAGTGAGGGCGGCATAGGAAGGGCATGCCATTTTTCACTCTCTTAACACTTGCTCTTTTTCCTCCCACACCCCCACTATGTTAGTGGGTGCATTTAATTGTTTGCAGAATGTATTTGCATGCAGAGAATAGCGAGAATATCCCAGGTGCTTATAATCCTACTGTTAACACAGCGTTCAGAAAACAGTTTTCCCATGCGTCAGCTCCTCTTCAATGTCTAATTAGTGCGATAAGAGCACTCAGTGAAATTAATATAGGCATCGTATGTGTGTAGAGAACTACAGTTGATAAAAACTTTAGCTGCATATGCATTTTTAGTAGTTAAATATTATCTGTTTTCCTTTAGCCTAGAGGGAAAGAACTGTTCCAGAAGAGAGTGCAGAGCCCTCCTGTTGCTCCTAGGGAACAAGGGCACACCACTTCAACTTAGGAGACATCATTAAGAACATCAGCGTGTGTGCGTGCTGGTGTGTGTACCTATGTTTTACATTCAGAGGAGTTGACAGCAGATATTGTATTGTATAGAAGAGAAACTGAATTAATTTTTTAAAAGGGTGGTACAAAAGCATTGTATCTCATAGCGTGAATAGAGGTACCTTCTTCTGTTTTCAAGAGATCATCACTAAAGGATAAAAATTAATCTGTAAAAAGCAGGATGTTTAAAACATTACTTCAGTAGAATGAAATATAAACATGTAAAATTTTTGGTATGTTTATTTTGTTTGCTGTTCACAAAAGCTAGCAGAAAATGTTATTAAATTTGAAATATTTTTCCTAATATTAGTGCCAAGTTTTTTTTTAATCTAAAGATGGATATAGTACACTTAAAATGCGATTAATTTTATTTCAGGCATTGCAATATCATTTTTAAATAAAGGTAAATTTAATATTTTAGAAAGGAGAATATTATTCTGAAGATAGGAATTGATGACTTCTGGTTTTCATCAACTACGTGAACTAAGAATTTTATCCCCCTTTTAATAGAAAGTATTATTCTAAATAACTTCTTATACTGCTTCTTTGATTCTGTTCAACAGGTGTATGCAGAGTCTCGGGAACATATACAATCTTCATATAACCATAGGTTAGGCTCAATAACTTACAGGTCTGTTACTTAGAATAAAAATATGAGAGAGAGAGGGCATAATAGGATACCATGACAACAGAAGACATCTGGAAAAGTAACTGTGTCCTCCTGTTTACTAAGGGTAATGATGGTGTTATACTTCTCTGTAGTACTTGTTAATTGAAACATTAGTAATTCAGTTAAAAACCAGTCATGGCAAAAGCCTGTGCTTACTCTCACATTGCACGACCTGTTTGATACCGATTTTGTTTTAAAAATCTAATAAGTGCTCCTAGCCATGATTTGAATTATCGGAATATTTTAAACAAAGGTAATGAGATTTTGTAAATTTTAGAGCTGGGATGGTGGTTTTTAATCGAGGTTTGATTCCATTAGTTGTTAACAAAGACTTTATACTTCATCTGTAAGTGATACATCCAACTTACTTAGGCAAACAAGAGGGAGGAAATAATAAGGCTTGCAGCAGACATGTTGATAAAAGTTTTTAATCTTCAAGGGAAGATTTTTTTTTCTGCCTCTTAAGGTGAGTTGGTGCTATTTTCAACTTTCATTGTGTTTTATGTAAAAAAAAATAGCTTAAATTACAGAGATTAAAGGAAGTGATTAAAGCAGTTAATATGGTTAATGCTGCTTTTTATTTATTCTTCTGAATAAATAAGATATTCTGTGATGTGACTCTGGATCTTATTCATTTTGTGTTGGACTCAGAAATGTTGTGGCATCATGGTAATAAAACTGGTAGGAGAATTTTTTCTTTCTTTGAAGATGAGGTAGATAAATGTGGAAAAAGGTAGTTAATAATACAACATTTTTTTTCATCTTTCTTTTGAGAATGTAAAATGATTATATAGTTGTTTAGTGATGTGGCCTTTGTTACTGTCTTTTCTGCTATAGAGTCTTGAAATCACTTCCAGTTCAAGTTCTTCCCAGGGAACAATGACAGTCCATGACTCTGTCCCCAGTGGGAATGACTACATTCGTTTTCATTTTCACTAACAACAAAGCATGCATACATCATAGATAATGGGGGAGATTTTCTTCCAGCAAGCAGAGGGCTGCCATATTCTTGATTATCCAGAAATTCTTTTCTTCTCTGATCTGAGTCATGGTGTTTTATGTGTCAAGGGTAGGGGAGGTCTGTTTGAATCAACCTTGGTAATTAGATTTCCTCTCTACTTATCACTAGATATGTTGGCGTTTTCTTACAGAAAGCTTAGAGGTTGGACTGGACCCATGATTTTGATGTCAGTATGAGAACTCAAAAAGTCACATTTCTGGCAATCTCTTTAGCACTCAGAAGATGGTCTAGTGATGTTCTTCGTGGACTGTGGCAGGCCCAGGGCAAGGGCAGGACATCCTTGCCTCAGCTCCCTGGGGCCTGCTTCTATTCTGGCACCAGGCAGAAGCAGCCCTACTCCATACGATAGTGAGAGGAAGGGGCAGCTGATCTGGGTCCTAAAAGTGGTGTTTAAAGGCCCTGTCCAAGTTCTGGGCCACAAGAGTGGATGTGTCTAACTCATCAGTCCTTGCTGATTTGAAAAGATTTTTTCCCCAAGCAACCTTCTTCTTTCCCCTTGTTTTTAGGCTTCGTGGTTGATAATTCACAGCCTAATTCAGTAATCTGCAGTACTCAAATTATACCCCAAATCATACAATTCTGATAAAGTAAAGTAGGATTTAATCATATTCATTCCTTGGAATCTGTTCCCCCTTGACGTGGGTCATAGATTATTTTTTAAATCTAAAAATGGTGGGGTGTTTTTTCGGTAAAATAGTAAGAGAATTTGATACCAATTTTATAGTTATATTAATATAAAAGTTACATATTTGCATTGTGGATATGAAATTGGGTTTCTGGACATTAATATTTTACATAATGCCACTGTTAAATTGGTCAGTAGGCGTAAAAGGATTTTAAAACTTCTTTGCCTCTATTCAATACTATCTGGATTTCATATTTCTCCTTGAAGTATTATTCTTATTATTCCTATTACTTGTTTTAATTCTATCCACACAAAAATACATGGGAAATCTACTGAAAGGTGATTCAGCAAGTGCTGTCTGGTGTTACAAATATCACATGTTCACCTCAGCCTGTAGATATTTTTAATTTTGAAAGGTGATTTCCTCCTCTAGTCCCACAACTATTTCAGGGCTTGTTTTCAAATAGATGCAGATTTCATTTAATCTCCAAGTAAGCTCTGTGTAAAAGGAAAAAAAAAAAAAAAGGAAAGAGTTCTAAGGGAGTAAAATGATGGAGTTGTAATTAGAGTTGTTTTTCAACCTTAGATGGCATGCTTGCTTCCACTAATGCTATAATTACCCTAATCAGCAGGTGGCAACCACAGAACATCACGCCTTGTGCAGACAAGTGGGCAGCTGAGAGTGTATAGAAACAACCACGCTGCAAAGGAGACCAGTCCGGTACAGTTGGGTACCAAATTCAGTCTTCCTACAGCTGTCTGAGAGGCGATGTGGGCAGGGAGGGATTCCGGGAACAAATCTGCTTCCGGTCCTGAGGCCCACTTGTCCTTTCTGGGCCTAGTAAGTGCCTTCCGGTTCCTCCTGCCAAAAGCTGGGTCCTTCAAGATCTTATAAGAAATGAGGAAAAGCTGAGTCAAAGGCAGGGCTAAAGTCAGAAAAACCCATCTCCCACCCAGGGGATGGTAATTCTCGTGGTGGCTGTGGTGGAAACTGCCGCAGATTGGTGAAAAGGATCCTTGCTCCTTTTTCAGTGTTCTGATATGTGATTGCAGTGTCATTAAACCCTTAATGGTTTGTTCTTGTTACGCAGAGGGCTCTCCTGGTGAAAGCAGAATGAATCCCCTGCAGGGCTAGTCCATTACTGAGTAAACCATTTCTTGACAGGTTGATTTTTGTCTGCTTTTTACAAACTGTGTTAAAAAAAAATAAAAGGGGACAATGTTGTATCACTCAGGAGTACAGACGTATTTTCTTGTTATTGTGAATTTTTGATGGGAAGAAAACCATTTTCTGATAATGGTTTATTTTGTTTAAGCCTTTCTGAAATGTTATCTTTTTTCTAGTAATTAACAACTAAGAAGCTTGTTCTCATTGATCACAGTGAATAGTGAAATAAATTTAATTTCATCTTTAATTTGAGGACCACAAATGTATTAGATGGCCAGTGAGTAATTCAAATATTTTAAGTCTTGAGGAGGAAAAGATCCTAGTACGGTGATGGCTAAATGTGTTTTCAGTTATTCCAAAATATATTAGAACATTTCCTCCTGCCATTATTTATTGAGATCTTGAAAAACAATTGAATCATTAAAAATCATTTATAAATAGTAGCAACACATTATATTCATTTGTTTCAACCAGCTGTGATGTTCTGTGCATTGGCTTTACTTTTTGTTTCTTTCATTTGCAAAGCCCAAAGAGGACTGGTGGAGCAAAAACGCAAGGATGATAGAGAACAGCATCGAAACAAACTTTTAATTTATCTAACATTCATTGAGTACCTAGCAAGTGTTAGGCACCATGGTAGGTACTGGACAACTTTTCTAATAGA